AAATTGTACATAAATGGAACGGTCATCTACAAGTAGGAAGTTTTAGCCTTTCACAAGTAATAGAAAATTGTACTGAAAACAGTCGTTGGTGTCCCAGTTTATTTCCACTTTTTCTCTACCATTTTGTGTTAGTGATCTAGTAGCTTCTGAATTTGGCGATTTTATTTGCGATGGTGACATACAACTGTATGGTAAGGTCTTTTTCTTTTGCTTTATATATAATAATCACAAACAAATGAAAAATTATATCCGGCACGAGTCTGTTTCTGTCGTCTTTATAATAATAGTCTGATGCCTTCACACAATTTATTGTTAGCTAACGCTTTTGTTAAATTTGTTAATCTTAGTCAGTAAAAGGAGAGTATAAATAAGTTGCTGCGTTTACGGTCTTAAGGAATTCGATGTCTTAAAATCCGAAAACCTTCTTACGGTCTTTCAAGAAGTGGTGAGGATGGTCTATTCACTGTCTATTGCAATTTACATTATCGGCACAAAACTGAATTATTGCCGAGTTTACCACTTCAGTATTTGACTGCGCGATATTGAAAGGGGCCGCAAGGTAAAATTTTTACATCTCGTTTTACTATAACCGAAACAGTAAAAGAGAAGAAAAAAATTACTCATAGTTACCTTGCTTTAATAGAAAATTGTGGTCACGTTTATTTTAGTTTAAAAAGTACAGTCTACCCTCTCCTTACGGACTCCTCTATAATACAGACGCCTTTCTATTACGGACAGTTCGTTTGGTCCCAGAAATGCCAAACATCATACATTCCCTACCTCTATAATACGGACACCTCTGTAAAAAGGACACTTGGTTCTGTCTCTTTGGTGTCCGTATTAAAGAGGTTTGACTGTACCTTGAATTACTCTTTCGTGGGCCATTTACGGAAGTCCTAGGGTGTTCGGCTAACACCGCAAGAGCCGAGAGCTGTCAAACCATGGCATTAAGTTACTTGTGCAAATGTCGTGAGGGGACATTCTATTACCCCTCAGCTCATTTGCATAACATTTTTAGCGGCTCTGAGCTCCCAATCGCCCACCTACACAACTTTCTTTTCTGAAGTTGAAATGTCGCCTAACTAAATATAAATTTATGTTATGAAAGCCGGTTTTAAAAAAGACGACACTTCTCGGCGGCGCACAATTTACACGTTACGACTTATCACTTTAATCTCCCATTCTAATGAGAAGGCCAAAATGTTTTCGGGTGTAAATTTTTTTTTTATCACATTTAATAGTAGCCTTAACTATGTGACCAGGTACTGTTTGCTTTGCGTACGAAGCTAGGACAGAAGATTACTTGTTTATTTTTCCCTACTAATAAATATTTAGTAGTTTTTTTTTGTTTGTTTGTTTGTTTGTTTTCTTTTTTCAACATAATCTGACAACACTGCCATGTTGACTATATTACCGCTAAAGCATCAAAAAGCTTTACGCTCTCAGACTATTAAAGCGAGCTGGCGTGCGAGAACAAGACATGTTGAAAGTCTTTAGAAGTAGTGTGAGACCGATTTTAGAATATGCCGTGCAGGTGTGGTACGACATTCTTGACTATTTGTCAGATAGAATAGAGTCCGTGCAAAAAACGGCCCTTAAAATCATATATGCTAACAGTTCGTACAGTCAAGCAATGTCGCTAGCCAACGAAACTACACTTTCCAACAGACGCGAGCTCCTATGTCATAAATTATGGCTGAGGTGACAGACACCCGTGACCACCCATTGTCGTTCTTGGTGTCCACCACTGTACAAAGAGCTTATCCTTATGACCTTACACCTGGTTCTTCTCGACCATTCAATAAGTTCACGAGAACTAAGAGATCAGAGAACTTTTTTACTTTTAAATATTCGTCGCTTAAGTATCCGTCATGATTATCTTTTTAAGTAGTTTTTTAGGTAGTATATTTAATGCATAGCTTTAATGTAGCATTATTGTCAGTTATAACCGCTAAACATACGCTTGACTGGTACTATAAAAAAACATGACAACAACTTAAAACCTCTCCCACGCGCAGACACGAAAAAGTAGCCACAGAAACGTGTATATACTGTATCGAGAGGATACTATGAAAATACAAAAGACTAAGTTTCATCTCCTCTGTTCATCCCATAAAGTTTAAGAGTCTTCCCTTTCAAATGAAAAATGGTTATCGGGCTTTACTGATACCATCTCTGTACTTAATCTTTTTATATCCCACGTAGCACTTCTAAACATATTTTTTCTCTAAAGCGGTCATAATCTACAGAAACGATCGGCCCTGGGAACGACAAGTCTTGGGTATATGACCGTATTTCCGTTTCCGGTAGTTGGCGCAAACACATAAGAAACGTTTTCTCGAAATAATCAAAACTGACGCGATGATTCTCTACTTTGCCATTGCGTGGGCGGCAGATTCGCAATACTTGGTAAGTTTTCGACAGTTTGATGAGAAAATGGTTGATAAATAGATTTATTCTATAAAACACCAATTTGTGTCGTCTTTCTTCCCTTCAGTGTTTTTCCTTGGACAAATTGACGTTTTCCCCACCCGTTGTTGAGTTGAGAATTTGTTGCTGTTACTGACACACGCGCTCATTTGGAAGCAATAAACAAATTTGCTGAGGTGACTCAACAGAAGCATTCGAGCTCTGACGGACGTTAGCTTGTTATCTCAATACCTTTTTTATTAAAATTGCCGCCATTATAAAAGTAACGCAGATCTCCTGATTGAGAATACCCATGTAGCAGGAGTTTGAGCCAAAAATAACCATGAATGAAACATTCGTCTTCCAACAAAGGTTTTGAGTAATTTATGGTGTTTACAGAAAAACAGGATTGGGGATTGGCTTGGGTTTTAGAATTAGAAACTGGAAATACTCATTTTGCCTTAGTGACTGTTACGTTTTCACAATTCCAAAGCAATTAAAAGCTGAATTCGGAAATACTTTTAGGAATTGTTTTGAGAACTTTTGCCATTCTCAGTTTTCTGAAATTCTTTTGGCAATCTTATTTCATCACTAAAACCTTTTAGTATATACACACTCAGTGATCTTGGTAATTCAAGCAATCTGATTGATTAGCTATCTCGGACTATGACGTTTTAGTAAAATCCAACTAGTGGCTATCATCAGTGCTGCGTTCTGATT